AAATATGTTTTAAGAAGACTTTTAAATTCAGAGAGAGAAGAGGCCTGCCTAACATGCAAGGGTAGATCATTCCACAACTTTGGAGCAACTACAGCAAAAGCACGATCACCTTTAGATTTATACTTAGTTTTTGGTACCTTAAGGAGCTGCTGATTGGCGGACCTAAGGGAACGGGGAGGTGTATATGGTTGTAGTAGCTCCGAGAGGTAGGGGGGGGCCAGGCCATTAAGAGATTTAAAAGCAAATAAGAGAATTTTAAAAACAATCCTAAAATGTACAGGTAGCCAGTGGAGTGAAATTAAAATTGGGGTAATGTGCTCAAACTTTTTTGTTCCAGTTAAAAGACGTGCTGCAGCATTTTGCACAACCTGCAGGCGCCTAATGGACGCATCACTAACCCCAAAATAAAGTGCGTTACAATAATCCAGCCTAGAAGTAACAAAGGCATGGATTACTGTCTCAAAATGCTGTTTCGATAAGATAGGCTTTATTTTGGCTAATTCCCTCAAATGAAAAAAGCTAGATCTTACAACAGCTCTGACCTGGCTTTCAAGTTTAAGATTTGCCTCTATTTTAACTCCCAGATTAGTGATGACTGGTTTAACATACTGTGCCAGTGAACCAAGATCTATAATAGTGGCCTCAGAAGCGCCACCAAAAACCATCACTTCTGTTTTCAGGGCAGGGCAGGTAGCTCAGTAGGTAGAGTGGTGGCCCCATGATCGGAAAGGTCGGGGGTTCGATTCCCCTGAACAGCTACCCTGAGGTACCCCTGAGCAAGGTACCGTCCCTACACACTGCTCCCCGGGCGCCCAATGGCTGCCCACTGCTTCACTGAGTAATGGGTTAAATACGGCCAGGAAGATTTATATCCTCCAGAGCGCCACCAAAAAAGTACACTTCTGTTTTCTGTTCATTAAAATGTAAAAAGTTCAAAGCCATCCAGGCCCTTATATCATCAAGGCATCTGAGCAGCGGGTCTACTGAGAAGCCATTTATCTTTTTAAGTGGGAAATAAATCTGGGAGTCATCGGCGTAGCAGTGGAAAGAAATCCCATGTTTCCTGAAAATAGACCCAAGGGGTAGGAGATATAGAGAGAAAAGAAGCGGGCCTAAAACTGAACCCTGTGGGACCCCACATTGAAGAGAAGCAGCAGAGGATACAAACTCCCCGAGTTTCACAGAGAAAGTTCGCTCTGCCAAATAGGATCTGAGCCACTGCAGTGCGGTACTCCGCATACCCACCAACTGCTCTAAACGGGAAATTAAAATATTATGATCCACTGTATCAAAAGCAGCAGTTAAATCTAACAGCACGATAATAACACAGTCACCTGAGTCATTTGCCAAAAACACATCATTAAAAACTCTTAAAAGGGCAGATTCGGTACTATGTAAAGCTTTAAAACCAGATTGGAAAACTTCTAAAATACCGTGTTCTTCTAGGAAGGACATTAATTGCTTGTAAACTACCTTTTCAAGAATCTTTGAGATAAAAGGCAGTTTGGAAATAGGTCTGTAATTCGCAATAATATCAGGATCAAGAGCAGGTTTCTTGAGTAGAGGCTGAATCACCGCATGTTTGAGATTGACAGGTACAACACCAGAGGACAAACTACTATTTACAATGGATTGTACAGCTGATGCTATAGTGAGAAAAACCTCTTTGAAAAATCGAGGAGGGAGAGCATCATAAGGGGAACCTGAGGGCTTCATGTGAGCAACCAACTCCTGCAGGCAGAGCAAGGAAACTGGCTCGAACCTGTCAAAGACAGCAGAACTAGGGACAGGGGTAGAAGGGTCGAGAACGGACTGGGAAGTCTGCGCTTTGACAGATAGCACTTTATCAATAAAAAAGTGTAGGAAGTTTTCACAAATTTCCTGAGAAGACTCGACACCAGCAGTCTGTGGAGCGTGAAGGACCATGTCAATAGTCTTGAATAAGACATGAGGCTTACGACAATTTGCCTGAATAATAGCAGCAAAATGTTTCCTCTTAGCATCTTTTACAGTTTTCTGGTAAGAATTCCAGTAGTCTTGTAACATTTGGTATGACACCTGAAGTTGATCCTTCTTCCATTTACGTTCAGCTCTCCTACACTTTCTTCTGGCAGCCCGGGTGTCTTCATTCAGCCAGGGTTCAGATTTGGCTTTTACTTGCCTAAGCTTAAAGGGGGCCACTGAATCTAAAGCAGTTTGGCAGACAGAGTAAAACCACGTACTCAGCTCTTCTGTATCATTGCATATGAAATCAGGAAGGCCGCCGTTCTGATTAAAAACAATAGAGAACTGTCCAGCAGAGGAAGGGTTAAAAATACGACAGCTCCTAGCAGCAACAGGAGGAAGATTAACTTTGGTACAAGGAAGGAAAACCTCAAACAAGACAGGCCTATGGTCTGACCATACAACATCACAAACCTCTAAGTTAGAGACAGGTAAATTGTGAGTTAAAACAAGATCCAACGTGTGCCCATATTTTTGTGTAGGCACAAACACAGGTTGCACAAGATCAAAAGAGTCAATAAGATTTAAAAAGTCCTTTGCCATTGGCTTGTCAGGGCAGCACACATGAATATTGAAGTCCCCAATAATAAGGACATGATCATATTTTGGCATAATTTCAGCCAACAGATCAGAAAAGTCATTTAAGAAGTTCTTATTGTATTTTGGGGGTCTGTAAACCACAGCACAGAGCACTGTGTGAGAGCGACCTAGCTCAAACATGCTCAGTTCAAAGCTACTAGGTGAGGTTGATAATGGCAGTGGTTTACATTTATACTGCTTCTTAAAAACAACCGCTAGTCCTCCTCCTCTGCCTGATATTCGAGGAGAGTTTAAAAAGCAGCAGCCATCAGGTAAGAGATCTGTGAAAGCGCTGGACTCACCGGCCCTCAACCATGTCTCAGTTATACAGAGGAAATCCAGTCCTTGGGTCATAAATAAATCCCTTAAAATAAAAGTTTTATTACTCAGCGATCTAGTGTTCACCAATCCAAACCTGGTGGAGGTCAGCGTGTTCGTGGCTGACAGCGAGACCCGACGCAGCGGCCGTCAGTTCTGTAGGTTCGCACCGCGCCGACGAAGATGAGGGGAAATCTTTCGTGGCTGGGACATCGATCAGCCAGGCATCGATGGGCTCCAGAGAGCACGGAGAAAAGGCATGACAAGGTACAGATCCACGTTCGTTCCACGGAGCCGGGGAAGAGCGCGCCAAGTACGCCTTAAGTTTCACGAGTAGACCGCTACGTTTGCCCCGGCGTCTGAAACGCTTTCGCCGTGAGGCTGGGGCCAGGGTCCGACAAAGGTTAGCTGGTATCCCAGACAGGAATGGAGGTAACGATTTTAGTTTTTTAGTTATTTATTTTATCTTATCTCATTTTAATTTTCTTTACTTATGCTTTTAGCATGTACAGCACTTTGTGAACTCTGGTTTTATGTTAAAGTGCTTTATAAATAAAGGTGGTATGGTATGGTATGGTCCGTCATACATATTCTGACGTGCTGAATTACTTCAGCCATCCTGTATTGAGTTTCCCTCAACATCTAGAATTGATCATAAGTGTGTTCATCACATGATTCAGGTGAAAACGTTTATCATTATGTCATTTAGAATTGCTTAAGCTCCACTAATTATAGAGATGTATCAATAGGGATCTGGTATATCACTCAGACTGGTTCAAGTGTTACGTGGTGTAAAAAGAAAATATCAGAGAGCAAAATCCTTTCAAGGAGCTCCGCTGCTTGTTGAGATTCAAGTGGAGAAACAAGGCTGTTTCTTAGAGGCTTCCCTCTCAATATTTAACCACTTTAGCATCACTCTCAGCTTTTCCACACATGTATGTAGGTGAGTATTCAAGTGCACCGTACTGACCCCTCTTCTGTTTTATTAAAGTGAACGCTGCATACATGTTTCATAGGTTCTTATAGATTTAATATTAACTAAGGTCATATGTAAACAGTATTCATCTCAACTCAAATTGTTCCTGTTTCCATGTCCAGCATGATACGGGACAATTTTAGAACTAGTTAAAACAAATCTTAGGAGGTGTTTTCTTATTTAAAATAAATAAATAAATAAAATAAATCGAAATATAAAAATATATTTCTCCATAAAAAGACTCAATGAGTACATTTATGCTTCAGATTGTACAAAAAAACAGCTAGTTAGCTAGAGCTAACATGATACAGGTTATAGCTTGCACGTTTCAGCTACGCACAGACTGTTCAGACAAGTGGTTTACTGAGTCACTATTCAGTTAATATAAGCTTTTGTGTGGTTGTATTTGTGAGACTGGTGTGTCATACACACATTTCAAAGTGCCATAAAAGTGTGTGGTGCATTAAATGTTGTGGGCGTCTCTGTAAACCCACCGAAAATATCAATTTTCCCCTCAGAGTAAAACCCAGTTTCTAGAAAAGCTGAGATGCTGTGTGTGATACATGAAGAAACAGAATGTGGCAACAAAAAATACAAATAATTTAAAGAGTAATCGAACAAAGACGTGTAGCGCTTTTTGAAAAATGAATGCAGTAAGTTCAAATATTGCTAATTTAAACTTGCATTGCAATCAGAAAAACGTTATCTTTTTAATCTTTTTTTATCCTTTCAGGTTCTGTGATCACTTGGTCAGTGAACTGACGTTACAACTCTATATTAAATTACCAGACCTTGCTTAAAAATAGCAGCATGTTCTTGCTTTAGATTCACAACACAAAGCCAAGAGCTCCGGACACATTATGAATATTAAAGTTATGTAATACAGTGGATACGAAAAAGCAGCTGTTTTTATACCAAAGTTAGTGGAAGTAGTTTCAGTATGTCAGTACAGAAAGCAGGTGCATGTGTTACTGTGTGTACAAGTTTTCCACCCTAACATCGTCCCTGCTCCTCTCATTTACAGAAACATGTGGTGGACGAGCAGCTACACCCCGGTAACAGAGTGGCGTTTCTGACCTAAGAATAAATATAAGAACACAGAGTGTTCGAACCTGCACATGGCTCCACACACAAACAGCAGCAGTCTTGGTGTGTTCATTATTGAGAGAGGTTAACACACTGTACTTCCAGGGTTACTCTAACCTCCCACGTTAATTATAGAAATCACACTCTAGAAGTTTTCTCTGGTTCTACACTAGAAAAAATCACCGGGAATAAAAAGCACTGCCACATTGAGCCCAGTGTCCCACACAGCTGCTTCGGTAAAAGAAGGATTTAAAAAATCGCTGAATATTTCACTCAAGCATAAACTATACCACCACTACACGCCGCGTTCTAACAGTTTTGCATTGTGCAGCATCTTTTTTCCTGTCCTGACATTTAACTCCTGTTATCCAGTCGAGCATATGGCTGTCATTGTTATGTTTATTCTTCTCCTGAAATGCATTTACATGTCCATTTGGATTTCTTCAGCTCTGGTGCACATTTACAATTCTTTTTTTTCTGTATTTTTCAGTAGATTTGTTTTATATATGCAAATACATCTGGATCCACATCCACGAGTGGTTTATTTAAACAGTCGCATACACTGACTTTTTATTTTAATCTCTTCCAATAGACTGGTTAACCAAAAAGACTAAATGTGACCCACTGTGGCCAAATATCATTTTATACACCAGATTTTACTTCTTCTTATATCTTAGTTTGTACATCCTTGATTCCTTTCCTCACTTCCCACTCCTTGTCTCTTAATCCCTCCTTGTCTTATTTATGTCTTTCTGCAGGGATCCCAGCACTGGGCTGACGTAATGAAGATTTGGCACCTTCTGGTACCTCGTCCAACCACCGATGTTTCAGATGACGCACATACTTATATAATATATGAACACTTGAAAGGAATGGAGCAAAACATGTTCGTGGCCAATCAACCTGATTCTAATATAAAATAAAGTTAGTGCCGAAGCAACAGAGAGTTCCTGCAAAGAAAGCTGCAAAGTGATTCTATTTTGTGATTCTATTTTCATTTGCTTGTCAAGTTACCCCTGCTGTCGTAAGGCGAAAGGCGGGGTACACATAGAGCTGACACAGAGAGATAGACATTAGGGGTGCAACGATACACAAAATTCACGGTTCGGTACGATACTTTGGTGTCACGGTTCGATATTTTTCCAATACAAAAAAATGTTCATGCCTTTTTAATTTGTCATTTATAAAAATTATAAATATCTATTTTAACTCAAAAGTACAGTTTTTAAATTTAATGTTGCTGAAACAACAAAATAATAAAAAAAAATCTATCTGATAGAAATCACTCATCTTTGGAAAAGAGAGTTTATTACAGAGAAATGGGTCTTTCCAAAATAAAAGCTATACTATACGCAAATCTCCGTTAACGAGCTACTGTGCTAACACACTAGTTCCCACTAATGTAATTGAGCATTGCGTGGCACATCCAACATACTGTTTTACTTTTGTCCATGACGCGTTTACCTTCAGGGTCATACGTCACATGAAAACCAAAATAGTTCCAAACGCCAGATCTGAATGAGGGTGGGGGAGGTTCAATTTGCCACGTTGCAAGGAGAGCTTAACTTCTGTCTCGCTAGCTTGCCCTGCGGTCAGTGAATCTGCGTTCGACTACTCCGCCTAGGCTGCACTGTCGAGCGCAGATCCACTGAGCTCTCAACAAAGTCAACGTCGTCAGAAGGAAAGTTGATAAAATAAATTTAAAATTTTGTATTGTTCGATACATATGCGTACCGAACTGAAAGCACTGTATCGAATGGTTCAATATCGATACGAGTATCGTTGCACCCCTAATAGACATGCATATCTTTGGTCTAAGGAAGAAAGTTGGACTACTCAGAAAGAACCCATGAAAGCACAGGCAGGACAGAAGCAACAAGCTAGTGGACTCAAACCCAGGACCTTCTTGTTGTGAGGCAACAGTGTTAACCAATGCACAACCAAGCTGTCCAGTTCATGCAATTATTTTCTTTCTTTCTTTCATAATTAGGTTGTTGTACAATGCAGAAGTTGAAGCCCTGGTGCCTTTGAGACACCACAAGGTAAAATAGCCACAGTCACATCTGATCCATGATAGCTTCTGCAGGGATCTCACTAATTAAAAGCACTGGAGGAGTTTGGCTTCAGGTATAACTGTGGATTAAAAAAAAAGAGGTAAGCTAAAATCAAATGGCATGTCTGCTTTCGTTCATGCAATCAAAAGCCTTTCTTTTTATTGGATGCTCCATTTGAAGCACCTGCGATTAGTTTATGTAAAAATGTTGCAACTCTACTGCCGTATTACAATGCCTACTCCAAATATGCAACCTGCTGAAGTAAATGTCTCTCAGAAGGGATGCTCTGTTTCCAAGCACCTGTTTCGTTTGCTTAGCACAGCTGACATACTAGGTCTGCACAAACCCAAAATCTGGGTAGATTTTGTGTCGGTAGTAGTTGAAGAAAGTTCCCAGGGACTTCTGTCATATGTAAAGTTCTTCTAATTCAAGCCATCCTGTATTAGCAAGAAGAAAATGAGGGACTGAAATTACCTCTTTGTGCAGTTGTACATCATAATGATATGTAAAAATGTCACATCTGGACTTGTTTCACAGCCCACCATTTAGGAACCACTGAGCTACAGAACAGCACCCTGGAGAGGCGAGAGACTGTTGCTCAAGGACACTTCAGCAAGTCAGATGTTTGCCAGCACCAGCGTTTGAACCGAGGTTCTTAATTACATGCTACGCTCCTGCGCTTCAGCAATCTCCCAGCATCTAACAGCTAACAGCTCTGCTCTGTTGTCTTCTGAAGTCATTCACATGGTGCTGCACATGCAGATACAGTTACAACACACATACGAGTCGGCTATGTTTTAGCTCCTTGATCAGCAACAGTGCAGGCAGTCAAAAGCTGGAAGGCCTGAGGTGACTGTGGTATGATCCTGTCAGAGCGTTTGCTTTTGTTCACTCCAGGTAACTCACTATTTTAACCCTTTCCATAAAAATCTCATTAAGTCGCTTTCATTTTCACCTTGTCTCTTCAGTTTTATTACATATTGTTCCATTTCATCTCTCTTCTCAAATCCTTCTCCTTTTCGTCCTTGTTTTTCTCTTTCCCTTCATTTTTCCTTATCACTCCACGTTTGTTTTGAAGTGAAATGAGTGTGTTTGATGGGAAGCTGAATAGAAGAGGTGGAGGAGGAGAGGATGTGGGGACTGTGGGAAGATGGCAGCTCCTATATATAGCGGTGAGCGTGGGTAGACAACGTATTGACAGGAAAGACACAACGATTTCTATCCAAAGCAAAGCAGAGAGAGAGAGAGTGATAATGAGCCAGAGAGCAGGGGGGTTGAAAAAGAGACAACCTCTGTTATTTGTGTCGTTTGTGTGTG